TCCTATGCTGACATCCTAACATCCAGTACCTAGAATGTGACCTGATTTGGAAATAGGGTCTCTGTGAGATAGACAACTTACGATAAGTCCATTAGGTTTGGGCCCTAATTCACTATGACTGGTGACCTTATAAAATGGGAGATTTGGACACAGACAGACAAGCACACAGAGAGGACAAGGTGAAGCGCCCTATGAAGAGGGTGGAGTGATGCATCTACATGCCAAGGAACACCCGAGGCCACTGGAAGCCAGGAGAGAGGCCTGGACCAGTCCCCTCCTTGGTGCCTTCAGAGGGAGCACAGCCCTGCTGCCACCTTCATCTCAGACTTCTGGCCTCCGTAACCGTGAAACAATACATTTGTGTTGTTCTAAGCCACACAGTTTGTGGTACTTTGTTACAACCGCCCTAGGAGACTAATACACACATTCACCAAATAAAACCAAATGTGGGTGAAATTATCACTGCTGAGCACTCTGATGGGGAGCAGGGGACAATGCTGTATAGGTCAAATCAGAGGGTCTTTCCTGGTCAGAAGACTCAGGGACCACCTCTCTGAGGAAGCCACACTTGTCTTGGGAGCTAACAGGCAGAGGGGCAGGGGCAGGGCCCGTGATCCCAAGGGGAACAGACCACCTGTCCCCCTCCAGGTTGTGAACTTGGGTTAGCAAGTGTCACTCTCCATTGGGAAATCCAGGACTTGACACTGGGGATCAGATTCACTCATCAGCAAAAATCTTTGCAGAAGCAACCCGCTGAATGACAAGATCTGTGAATGCATCACTAATGCGATTAAGGCTCCTCCTCAAGATGTCATGCCAAGGGGAAGAAGTGAGGTCCTAAACCTGTAATTTGAGCTCTGTAACTGCCATGGTCCTGGGGTGAACGCTGGAATATTGTGAAAGGAGGCGGGAGAGGGAGGTGTTCATTCACGCTCTTCTGGCCCTATTAGGGAGGAGGATGGATGCCCCAATTTCAGATGTCCCTTCCCAGGCCTTCTTTTGCTAATAGCCCCAGAGGTGGAAAGGGCACTGTATCTTACTACCACAGCACATTGGACACATCCCTTAAGAATATCCAGCTCTCTCAGCTCCAATTTTATGCTCACTAAGCAACTTTGTGAGTTGTTCTGTTGGGGTTCTGACTCGATGATTTTTTTCCAGGCCCTGAGCCAGGATTATTGTCAGAACCAGCGTTCAGGCTGCAAAGGAACAGAGCGGATGGGAGGCCAGCGCTTTGACACCAGACAGGGCCATGCAAGCCAGAAAAGGGCAAGAAGAAAGCACTGAGTCAGTTAGGAAGAGCAGGGGAGCCTAGAGTATCCCCCAGAACACAGAGGTCCAGCCAGCCCAACTGGCAGCCAAGGGGAGGGCTTAGCTGACATCCCCAGGTGTGTGAATGGGACCAAAGCCGACCACGGGAAGCAGGTGGAGCAGCCCTGGGGAGGGGTGGGTAGCTAGCAGGAGGCAAGGCCACTGTCTTCAATCAATAAGGATGGGGCCCTGTGGTTGGTGGGGCCCTGAAGGCAAAGGGGGCATCTGTCAAGCCTGCAGGGCTGCTTCCAGAAGACTAGTGGCCGTCCCCACTCTCCACAGCCAAAGCCCTCTGGTACTCGAACGTCTGCCTCGGACACCACAGACGTGTGTTGCTACAGCTTGGTTAGTGCCACACAGCCACTGAGAGTCACGTTTGCTTTTCCTTGAGCCGAGCACCACTGATGTCCACGGTGAGTACGCTTGAGGCAAACGTATCCTACATCAAACTAATTGATAATTCTCCCGCAAGACTCAACTGGAAGACTCTAGTGTCTATTGAAAATTTTGCCCAATGGCAGATAAAGTAGTTGTGTGTCAATTCATAATGCAGTAAGTTCAATATTTGTGGTCACAAACTTGGAAGCTCAAAAATGGATGGTTCTGGCTCCATCATGGACTTCCACTGACTTTACACTCTGTTCAGAGCACCTGTGTAGTCCACCCCCCATCCACCTCATTCCACCCACATCCCTTTCCTTCCCATGTGAGTGACACCTGGGCTCAGATGAACTTATGGAATGACATCATGGTGCCAAGGAAGAAGGATAATTTGTTTGGTCTGTGACTATTTTGTTTCCTGGCAGGTGTCCATAGCAGAGTGCCTTCTGCACCATGGTGGGAGCATCCAGTGATGCTCCCGTGCCCTCCACAGCTCCCTCTCCTGTGCTCCTGCTTCAGCAGGTGTTCCCTCATGGGTGCTCCCACGGCCTCTGGTCCTGAGGCCCGAATGCCTGATCCTGGCCATTCTCCATCAGTACCTGTGTCTCTCCTGAGGTGACGGATGTTTGTGGGTAAACTTCAAGCTCTCTTCTGTGCCCATTATGAGGTCTTGAGAGCTGAGTCAGGGGTACGGGGCATGATGTCACCTGTTTCTGCTTAGATCTGCCTTGCTCAGTGGTGGTTGTGCCACATCAATGAGAGGCTCTTGGAGCCCCTCTCCAACGGGGACTTCCCCTTCAGGGGGTGGGGTCAGGTGCTCTCGTCAGGTCCAGCTCCCTCTACTGTGCCTGCCAATGTCCCTTAGGCCTTAAGGTCTGGGCCTTCTCCATGCAGGGGAACTGCTCTCACACCCCCTGACTCCTGCCGTCTTTATGGTAGACGGCACAGCCTTGACGCCCTGAGTCTTCTCGACGTCACTCTTAATAGTGACAGCCAAGATTTGGCGTCCAAAACCCAAAACCCAATAAACAAGTAAACACATAAAATACGTCCCTGTCCTTGCAACCTCTTGCAATCTAAAGCTAGAATTCCCCGAGACCATTTCTGAGCACAAAGCCACAAATGTAAATCTATGCGTCCTCTGTTCCCGAGACCATGAGCCTTGGTCTCACTGTCCAGACTAATGGCAGAAGAACCACAGGGTGAGAGAGAATTACAAGGAAAAAACGTGTCAGGTAAGAGTTCCAAATACTATTCCGCTTGTCTCACCTGCCCCGGTCGGAGGGTGAACGTCCGTGTTTCATGAGGTATGGGTTTTACTCTACTGGACAGGATGGCGGGCCACCAAGAGGCCTGAGCCTGAGATGGCCCGGATTTGCTCTGATGGGCATTGTCCCCATCCCCCCCTTCTTTGTTCCCCCAGGACGGGAAAAGTAGAGACCTTGAGGACGGAGCTCCAGGAAGGCTGGCTACCATGGCCTCCCTCAACCCGGAAACAGACCCAGGGACACAGCTGGACCACCTCAGCCCACACCTGCCCCTAAGTGTTCCCTTTACCAGCATCTGTCACCCACTCCAGCAGCAGCAAGAAGCGTGAACTAGATTTCCCTCGCACCCGTGCTTGAAAACAGGTTCTCAACCAGGGCACCTCCCTGACAGACAGCTCATTACTCGCCTTTCCTTCCCACTGCCCATTGCTTCGGATGCTATTTCCAAAACGAAACAAAACATAACAAAACAGCCTGACCTGCTCTGTAGTTAAAAATAACAAGAAAATCTTATAAAGAGACAAGGGACAGTTCAATTTGAAATGATGAAATCACCCGGAGTACTTTGGCTGATCAGAACTCGCACCGCCTGAAGCCCCAGGAAGGGATTATGCTCGATCAAATGGCATGAAAATGGCTCAGTGCCTCGGCATGCTGGGGCTCCCAGCCACCACCCTCACGGGCTCATCTACCTGGGCAGCCACTTTCCTAAATCAAAAGGTGACCGCTCTGTGGCGAGTCAATTGGCAGGTTTGTAGAACTCAAGCGTGTCTCTCTTGGATTCTGTTCCCCTCTGCTTGTGACCCGTAGATAGAAACTCGTGCTGGGTCTTGAGGAAACGCCAGGCTAGCACTCGCACATTGACTCGCGGCTCTTCATTGGGAGCCTGGAGAAAACATCCTGTCACTTGGGCAGGCGGCCCACCACTCAGACGGGAAAGCCCACCACATGCCCCCCCCCCCGGCCTCAGGCGCACATCTCCGGGAGCCCCAAAAATGACAATGCTGCTGGAGTCACAGCTATCCTGCCACTTTCCAAATTGACAACCTCGTGATTTATTCCTCCCGTATTCAGAGAAAGAATAAAGCTATTCCAGTGTTGCTGTAAATTATTTTGCTTACACAGAGGGGCTTTAATCTAGCCACTTCCATCTGCTCTTTCTCCCGAGATGCTAACAAAATCATTTTCTGCCTGAAAGAAATAACTTCAGAGGAAAGGAAAGCCCTGCGTAACATTGAAAAGCCATTTGAATGATTTTGTATTTTCCCAGGAAGATCTCAGAGTTGTGTTTAGCTGGTTTGAGGGATTGTGAGCAGTTCTTAATTCCAATGTCCTGAGGGAGGGGCAGAGGCTCGCTGAGGCCCTGTCTCTCCTTTCCTTGCCAAGCTCAGAAGCTCACTCTACGCCAGATTTCATAATTCCTCCTAACGAGAGGGCGGTGCCTGTCAGGTATTTTAGGGAGCTCTGGGAGAAAGCTGCTGCATGAGACAGAAGACCAATGAAGCACAGAGAAATGAACCTCTCATCTCTGGAGCTCTCCACACACAGGCCAAGGAGACGTTTTGAGAAAGAGGGATGTCTGAGGAGTACCATGCATGGCACCTCCACACATCACCCCCAGTGCCTCTGCACCACCAACAGCACCCAATCACTCAGACGCAGGAATAAGGACAGAGGTGTTGGTAACTGTCCTTCAGGCAAATTGCATGGCAGTCCCAGACTCTAGTGAGGCTGTGTGTGTGTGTGTGTGTGTGTGTGTGTGTGTGCCTGGATTAAAACTGTTCTCATTTCCCATTTTCCGCCCAGGACCCTGTATTTCCTTCTCTATTCAGTCAATAACCTGCATTCCCTTTTGTCCAAGAATATGTTAGCTTCACTTTGCCCCTCAACATTATTCATTATCTAAGCAATGATATTTTTCCAGTCAGCAGATACTGACCATTTAGTGGATGCTGAGCAATTGCATCTGTGCTGAAATGTTGGATCATGCCAGAAACACATGGTGCACATGGGCAGAGAATGACAAAGACCGAGACATACCAGAGCAAACACATCATGATGAAGACAGAAGGTTCCGGGAACCAGCTGAGTCTTCCGCATCTCCTTGTGTCTCCGGGACCTGGTGGCATCAGATGTAGGTTGCTGGGACACTGGGAAGGAACGGAAGTGGGGAAGAGACTGTGACATGTTGCAGTGGTGGAAGGGGGAGTTCTCTTTCTTTTAGAAAGTGAAAGAATTCTTAAGAAAGAATTTCAGAATGTTCTTTTTGAAGCCAAACCAGAGATGAATTTTCCCAGCTCCTATGGAGTCCCGATAGACAAAATGCAATATTCTATTTATAAAGCTGGTACGCATTTTCCCTTAGTTACCCAGGATACACGGGGCCTCCTATGGCAGACGGTGGCATCGATGCAGGGTGGCATTTCCCGGGACGGGTGAGAGCAACAGGAGGAGAGGCTTACAAGGAGTCAGGGCACTGGAGGCAGAACGGGATGGAAGCTTATGGTACTACTGCCACTCCCTTTGTACAGGACACCTGGTGCCCTCTGGGTGGAGACCCCGGGGTGACCCACTCCTTGCTGCATGATTATAGTCACACGCCACCCGTTTCGGCTAAAGAACTGTGGAACAATTTGCATTCCCCTTTCATTCTTTTTAAGATTTTATGTATTTATTTATTTGGGAGAGAGAGAGAGAGAGAGATAGCAAGATAGAGCATGAGCAGGGAGGAAAGGGAGAAGCAGGCGCCCCGCTGAGCAGGGAACCTGACGTGGGGCTCAGTCCCAGGACCCTGGGATCATGACTCGAGCTGAAGGCAGACGCTTAACCGACTGAGCCACCCGGGCGCCCCTGCATCCCCGCTTCATCTGATGACACAGACAGACAACATAAGCAAGCACCTATGTCTAGCTCTTCAATGCAGAGGGTGTAACTCAGCCCCACAGGTAAGCAGCACACCCGGGGCGTTACATCCGGCCTTGCTACTGGTATCTGCTGATGGCCAACTTACCTGCCTTCAGAATGGGTCAATTCCAATGGATTCGTGAGTGTGCCTTTGCTGATGGAGCTGTTCCTCCTCACCGACAGGTGCTTGAAAAATGTTCCAAGAGGTAGAGTGTTACACGATCATGCCCCCTATTAAAACAAGCCCTGTGCAGGGGAGGGTGTCACATGAATGGTCTGGGAACTTAGTTTCCCAGAAAGTTTCTTCAGAGTCGAGAGGCCCCTGCCCCCTCCCCCTCTTCCTTTCTTTTCTTTCTTTTTTTTTTTTTTTCCAGCACAACAGTGTTTTACAGGCTCCCTTTGCTTAGGGAGAAAAAACATGGCCCATTTAACAAGTTGATTTCTTCCATGGCTGTGCAAGTTCTTTGTAGTTTATGAACAAATTTTGTCCACAGAGACGGCCGCAAATATTGGTTACAATGTAATCAGATGGATAGAGCTAGAGCAGAAAAAGAAATCCTTTGAATTATTGTCACAGCTTAATTACAGACCTTGTGATTCTGAGCAATTCGGGAGCCTGTGATGGCCAAAGGTCAAACTCGTCCACACAAAAGAAACATTAATAGGAAATTCAGAAACGGTGTCTCAGCACTATTGTTGCTTCCAAAATCTAATTGTGGGAATAAATGGCTTCCCCCCAAGTGCACGGAGCCCTCACTTGTTGAATGAACGTTGAATGATTTTACCATGGATAGTCTATTAGTCAGCTCAGGCAACCATAACAAATACCACAGACCAGAACAACAGAGATTTACCTCTCACAGTTCTGGGGGCTGGGAGTCTGAGACCAGGGTGCCGGCGTGGTTGGGTGTGGCCAGGGATCTCTTGTTGGCTTACAGATGGCCACCTCCTTACCGTGTCCTCACATGGCCTTTCCTTGGTGTATCGGTGTGGGGAGAGAAACAAAGAGCACTTTCTCCTCCTCTTCCTTTATTTTAAGATTTATTTGTTTATTTATTATTTGGGGGGGGTGCAGAGGGAGAAGGAGAGAAATTAAGTGGACTATCCGCTGAGCTCAGAGCTCGATCCCACAACCCTGAGATCATGACCTGAGCCGAAACCAAGAGTTGGCCACTTAACCGACTGAGCCACCCAGGCCCCTCCTCCTCTTCTTATAAGGCCACCAATTTTATTGGATTAGGACCCCACCCTTATGACCTCATTTAAACTTAATTGTGTCCTAAAAGCCCTATCTCCAAATACAATGACAGTGCTGGTTAAGGCTCCAACATATGAATTTGGGGAGGACGCAATTCAGCCCATAACATATGGCCACTCTAGGTAATGTCCAGAGCTTCGAGCTCACAGACTTTGAAAAGTTACTCTATGCATATAATATCCTATACTATACACATACAATACATATATATGGATAGACATAGATACAGATATGGATAAATAGAGCCGGATGTACAAAATGGTAGGGAGGTGAGGAAATGCAAGAAAATAACCATGGAGACTCCATGGAGAATGAGCTGGTCTAGTGTATATGGTGTGGCATCACGGGGGACGTATCGAAGAAGGCACTGAACGGACTCCCAGGGAATCAGTAGGATTCCACACCAGACTGAGGTGGCTGGAAGTGAGCACTGGGTGCTGTCCAAGGCACCCAGGTGGGTGAGGACACGCCCAGGTGTGTGAGGAAGTTCAGAGACCAAGTGGGTGGGAGCATGGGTGCCCTTGAGTGACAAGCTAAGGATTTTGGAAAGAACCATTGTAAATAAGTGCGCTATTATAATCCTGGGGAGGAACCACATGTGGTCAGAGGGGCACTTTGAGATCAGGGATCTCCCAGAAGCCTGGAGAATGAGCTGGAAGGGAGCATCTCAGCACTATTCCAACAACCCAGGGAAGAAGGAGGGTGGGGAAGGCAAGGGTGGCATGGGTGAGCATTTTAACTGCTACATTCTTATGCTTGAGCTCCTAACTCTTACATGCCACACCAGGGTGTCGGATTCAGGAAGAAACACGTTCTTCGTGCATTAACACTGCTGATCCGTTCCAAAATCCTTCCAAACGATCAATAAAAAGATAGAACAGCAAATGGAAATAGAACTTATCTACCTGAAGTTTTCCCTTGTAGCAAACATCAGAGGTAATTAAATATTTATGTCTGGCCAATCCATGATAGGGATCCTTGGATCAAATAAGTCAATGGTTATGATTCTACATGAAATAAATATAATTTTCTATGCTAATGAAAATGGTTGGATGTTCAGAGTGCTTTGAAGGCTAAGTATAGCTACTATGATGTACTGATGTTTTTACATCAAAAGTAAAAGAGTGAAAACAGTTTTTATTCCTATGATCACAATGCTCAAAAAGCCATGTTATAGATCTTGAATATATCATGATTCACCACTATAGAAATGAAAATAAAAGTAGATGTATACCCTCAGAACTTTTGGTCTATGTCAAAAGCTACTTTCTACTGAAATTTCAGAAGCAGAAAAGCTGGTTGAGAACTCGCCCTAGCCCCACCCCCACCCCAGTAATGGCGGCTCCATCACTCATCCTGCTGTTTGCAAAGCCAAGGCCTGTTACTGGGTTTTGTTTCATATGTTGGGGAGGGGGACAATGGGTGAAGGGGAAATTGATTTTTGCTAAGTTGAAGAAAAAGCGATGTTAAAAGAAAAGGCATATGCTCATTAAAGTGTTTATAGGGCAGGTACAAATGATTTAAAGAAAGAAACACTGAACTCTTAAAGTAAAACAATACAAAACAAAACAAAGTGGTGTCTGGCCTTGGTAACACACTCCTGGGGAGGTGAACCACACACCGTTTCATCTCTGCTATGGATGGCAAATGCTCCAGATGTCCAACAACCTATCAGAGACACTGTAATTAATAATAATGAGGACCAAGGATGTCAGTTGAGGTCACCCTGGAGAAATATCCCTGGGGATACTGAATAGAGGTATCTCCCTTAGAGCACAGTGAGCAAATTTCCTTTGCTCAGACAATTCAGAAGGAAAAAAAAAGTGTGTGAACCACTTTTTTAAATTGAAAATGAAAGGAGCTCTATGAAGGCATCCAAGGAGGGTAGAAATACATCCCCTTAAAGTCAGATTACCTCATCTACTGGATGGCAGAATATAAAGAAAAAATTAAAATGGGTTTTTAATCATGGAAAGCAAGTAACAGAACACTTTTGAGAAGCGCCAACATGGTCAACTTCCTCCAGGCTAATCCTGTCACATGGGCTCACCTGATGGCCGCTCCCGGCACCCTCGCTCCTCCGTCACCCAGCCTGAGCCGGGACTGGAGAGAAGCCCCTGGAGCTGCCTCCTGCAAGGCCTCCACCTCCTCGGTGAACCACTTGGTTCTGTTCCTCTGTAGTTCTGTGCTCTCCAGCCCTCTGAAACATTAGGGCGCCCATGAATGCACTAGCAATACTCATGATTATTTTCAGACAGCAATGCACGGGAGGATGTGAACTCACCATGGCATCAACCTAGGAAAGAAATTTGTCAATGAATAAGCAGCACATGCACAAAGGCATTTCAATGCCGTGTGTTGTTTCGCTATTCACCGTTCCCTACTTCCTCAACCCCCAGGACTGGTGCACCTGTGCTGAGAGATCTTCATTTTAACTGAAGCATCCGCCAGTACCTGAGAACTAGACAGGCCCATGAGGTCTCACCACAAGGTCTGTAATGCCCGCAGTGAATAGAGCAGAGAGGCTGGAATCACCTTGAAGAGCAGAAGCTCCCAAGCCACGGGCCTCCTAGAGCCAACTGGGAGCAGGTGAGCAGATGTGAGAAGGATCGCAGCATGCCAGTCAGAAGGCAGGCAGGAAAGAGACCCAGAGAGAAGCTGGCCCACGTCAGTGAAAGGCCCCGGCAAGTTGTTTGGCCTCCCTCTCAGTGGTGAGGGGACTCCTGGTATAAAATGATGCTAAGCTTGGCACCATTAAACTACTCAGCCAACCAGCTTTGGATTCCACTGCCTGTGGATATAACGTGTGCTGACCTCAACTTCAAACCACCCACACCGTGCGCCTGCCGTGCCGGAGGTGCTGTAAATTAAACAAAGCAGCCTGCTGGTTCTACAGATCAGTCTTGCTAGCTTGGCTAATGCGAGTCTACCTCTGAAAGATGGAGCCACTCCCAGCAGGGCTGAGCTGATCCTAGGAGCCACCCTTCTGATCCTAGGAGGTTTCCTGGGAGACTGAATAGCAAGACAGACCAAGAGGGAGACTGGTCAACTACATCCCCACGTGGCTGCAGGGACAAGAGCAGGGTGATCTCTTCTTGAGATGGCTACCACAGTTCTGATCTCAGACTTTGGAACAGGAGAAGATAGAGAACACACTGGGCCTCCACCTGGATAGTAAATGGGCCAAGGACACTGAGCTTTTGAGGGACCTCCATACTGTCTTCCATAGTCAAGCGCAGCTCTTTATTCAGTGGCAGCCAGTCTGTGGGACTCTACACCCTGTATGTCTCTATTTTGGTTTTCCCACTGACCTTGGCCTCTGGGCCTAATTTGCATTTTGCCTGACCATTGTATATCCTTTGTTTCTTTGTGTGTGTGTTTGTTTTAATTTTACTTTATTATGTTATGTTAGTCACCATATAATACATCATTAGTTTTTGATGTAGTGATCCACGATTCATTGTTTTCGTATAACACCCAGGGCTCCATGCAGTACGTGCCCTCCTTAATACCCATCACTGGGCTCACCCATCCCCCCACCCCCCACCCCGCTAAAACCCTGTTTGTTTCTCAGAGTCCATCGTCTCTCATGGTTCGTCTCCCCCTCTGATTCCCCCCCCTTCATTTTTCCCTTCCTTCTCCTAATGTCCTTCATGGAATTCCTTATGTTCCACAAATAAATGAAACCATATGATAATTGACTTGTCCATGATCTCTGCAAACTGTTTCAGATTTTGATTTAGTCATGCATTTCCTGCTTACTCCCTAAAGACTGTCTGCCCTTCCCCCATGTCTTCACAAGTCTGTCCCAATCCCAGCCTGCACAGGTGACTCAGTGCACTGCCCCGTGAGTGTGGCCAATCTTACCAGCACTTGGGAGAGTCTCACTACACTAAAGAACGGGTGCTCCTCCTTGTCCCTTCTTGGAAAATGGGAATTGTGAACATCAGGAAGAACAGTGCCTGACATGAAGGAGCCACTCACTATTGAAGGGATGAGGAAGGAAGGCATGAGTGAGTGAACAAAGAATGAAGGAAGGCCACCAACCTGCTCCAGGGCACAAGTGTCTGCCTCACTCCTCATGGAGGCACTGGTGAAACTGCTCAGGAATCCATCTCCTTCTGTGGACGAATTCTCCTGGGGCCCTGGGACTGCCCCAGAGACAGCTGCGCGTAAATCAGGAAGAGAAATTCTGCCATAGGAAAGATTCCCATTCACCAACCGCCCCTCTGATCTCTGCCTGTCAAACAGACAACCATGTGGAAGTTTATGCAATCTTAAACTTCATCGTAGCAGTGGCAGTAAACCATAATAACGATAGGGATAAAAATAATAACATTAATAACAGGCATCTAAATTTGAGTAGCACTTCATAGCTTTCAGAGTGCTTTCAAATGCATTTGCTGCTCCCCTCAGCACCTCCACTGACCCTGCCATATACAGGTAATCACTACAGTGGCCACATCTTTAAAAGTTCCTGTGATTTTAAATCAAGATTCATTGGCACAGGGAAAAGGAAGCTTTTATCAGCATATAGGAGATTTATACAATCCACTCACTGGATCATCCAAGGAAGGGCAGGCACCATCCTTCATGGCCAGTGGCCCTGGGTATAGGGATGGCGATCAGGACTGCCACCCCCACTGTCCACAACTGCCACGGGTGCTCAGTGAACAACTTGGTAACAATCAACAAGTGAGACTTTATTGGCTCAGGACTACCAGGGAGCAAGTGACCTTCTAAGGCTGTGTCACAATCTCATTTCCATTCCCTCTCACTGGAATTTCAGTCAGCCTGAGCATCAGTTAATGACTCTTTCTTATCCATTTGATTAAAACACAAAGACACTGAGGCAGCAGCAAATTGGATTTTTTCCCTGGCCCTCAATGCACTGCAGTAATGAAATCCATGACTTCCAACCTCCACTAGTGAAGAGCCGACATGTACAGTATGAAAAGCAGGAAGGCTCATTTGTCTCCTGGCTGATGTCCCTCCTGGAGGAAGGCCCTCTGGGAGCCATGCATCTCTAGAAGAGAGCACCTGTGTGGTAGGGCTGAAGACTGAACGTCACGTGCAACACAATTTCATTTCTTTAAAAGCAGCTGCAGCTTCTATTATGTGGATGAAATCATATCCCACGTACTAATTTAATAAGTTCTTTTAAGCTTACGCAGAGTCTTTTCTTGAGAAAGGCCACATTCATATCCCACTGGCCTGTGCACTGAAAGATTTCCATCTATGACCCAAGGGAGAAAGAATAGTGAAGACTGAAAACAAGGCAAAGCTACTCCAATTCATATTCTGATTAACATTTACAGATGCTGATTATCACAAAAGTGGATTGTAAAAGTTAAATAGCAAGGTGAGCATCCAAACCCTTTTCACTCTAATATATAAAGAAAGTGGCTCCCCATTACCCTAGGTTAGGCCTTTCCAATGACCCCTCTTGTCCTGTATCTCAATGCCTCAGGTTCCAAGATCACCACCTGCAAAGACCGTCTTGTCAGAGCTCAGCACTAGTCCTGCTGGTGGGGATGGTTTAGAGTAGTTGCCCCAGGTGAGCACAAGAACCTGTGACCTATCTTTCCCACCTCTTTTCCTTTTCAGGAAGAAAAGAAATCAAGTGACAAAGAATTGGAGACAAACAAACTGTTGAAGTAGACTTCTTCTTAGCAATACATAGAAAAGCCTTATTATTTGCTTCATAAGAGAATAAATGTTAGTTCAAACCTCTGATTTTGTATCAACTCATTCAATAAAATTTATTGTTTTTTAAGTGTCAGGCACTGGAAACACATCCATAAACAAAAATTTTGTTTTTTGTCCTTGTCCTAACAGAGCTTTCCATTGTATTATAAAACCATGTGCTATAATTTTGAAGTAACCAGGTAGTTTTATTAAACCTGTGTCATATAGATCCTCTGGATGTATAACCCACCACATCCTCCTGTGCCAGGAAACTTCAGCACCTTAGTGCTGGACAGCTCTTCATTTCATTACAGGTGCTCCCAGGCGAAGAGCACTAGCATCTCAGCATCTGACTTCTCTGCATCCCAAAGCTGCAGAAGGTGCTGAGCTACATGCAGACATAGCTTGGAAGTGGGGAAAAAAATCCATGTCCCAGGGGAAACCCTCGGGAGATGCAAATCCATGGATAAATGTCCTAGTGTCATTGTCCTCCTGTAAAACAAATGTAAAAACATGGTTCCTCAAGTCTCCAGCAGGCTGACGTTCAGCCTTTCTCAGTGGTAACCCATGTAGTAAGGAAACCTGTGTTGATGTTTCTAATTTCCCTAAAGGACATTTTCACTCTCTCACTTCTATTGCCCTGAGATGGTCCCTTTATTAGCCATGGTTCTCCAGAGGAACTGAACCAAATGGAGATATAGATATAGATGATATTGATATAGCTATTTGTTTATAAAACAGTAACATGAGATAGAGATGGAGGAAAAGAGCAAGTGACAGAAAGAGATTGACTTATTATCAATCAATCTTCCATGTGATTATGGAAGCTGAGAAGTTCCCTCATCTGTAGTCAAGAAGCTGGAGACCCAGGAGAGCCAGTGGCGTAAATTTCAATCCCAGGGCGGGAGAAAACTAATGTCCAGCTCAGTCAGGAAGGCAAAGATCCACCTTTTTCAACCATTTTGTGCTATTCATACCCTCAGTTGATTGGATAAGGTCCACCCACATTACGGATGGCAAACTGACCTGTTTTATTCAGTCTACCCTACTGAAATGTTAATCTATCAAAAAACACCCTCACAAACACATTCAAAAAAATGCATGATCAAAAAAGAAAAATCCTTGACCACATGTCAGCATCCCATGGTCAGGAGAAGATTAGGGAATACCATTTAAACTGTAGTGCATGTGTCCTTAAGTTTCCATACTGGATTTTTTTTTTAAATAAGAATTATTTTTTATTTTTTTTATTCTTATGTTAATCACCATACACTACATCATTAGTTCTTGATGTAGTGTTCCATGATTCATTGTTTCTGCATGACACCCAGTGCTCCACGCAGACTGTGCCCTCTTTAATACCCATCACCAGGCTAACCCATCCCCCCATCCGCCTCCCCTCTAGAACCCTGAGTTTCTTTTTCAGAGTCCATCATCTCTCAAGGTTCGTCTCCCCCTCCGACTTACTCCCCTTCATTCTTCCCATCCTGCTAGCTTCTTCTTTTTCTTTCTTCTTAACATATGTTGCATTATTTGTTTCAGAGGTACAGATCTGTGATTCAACAGTCTTGCACAATTCACAGCGCTCACCATAGCACATACGCTACCCAATGTCTCTCACCCAGGCACCCCATCCCTCCCACCTCCCACAACTCCAGCAACACTCAGTTTGTTTCCTGAGATTAAGAATTCCTCATATCAGTGAGGTCATATGTCACATGTCTTCCTCTGACTGACTTATTTCACTCAGCATAACACCCTCCAGTTCCATCCATGTCATTGCAAATGGCAAGATCCCATTCCCTTTGATGGCTGCATAATATTACTTTGTGTATATATACCACATCTTCTTTATCCATTCATCTTTCGATGGACATCTTGGCTCTTTCCACAGTTCGGCTATTGTGGACATTGCTGCTATAAACATTGGGGTGCACGTACCCCTTCGGATCCCTACATTTGTATCCTTGAGGAAAATACCCACTAGTGCAATTCCTGGATCGTATGGTAGCTCTATTTTCAACTGTTTGAGGAACCTCCATACTGTTTTCCAGAGTGGCTGCACCAGCTTGCATTCCCACCAACAGTGTAGGAGGGTTCCCCTTTCTCCACATCCCCGCCAACATCTGTCGTTTCCTGACTTGTTAATTTTAGCCATTCTGACTGGTGTGAGGTGGTATCTCATTGAGGTTTTGATTTGGATTTCCCTGATGCCAAGTGATGTTGAGCACTTTTTCATGTGTCTGTTGGCCATTTGGATGTCTTCTTTGGAAAAAGGTCTGTTCATGTCTTCTGCCCATTTCTTGATTGGATTATTTGTTCTTGGGGTGTTGACTTGGATAAGTTCTTTATAGATTTTGGATACTAGTCCTTTATCTGATATGTCATTTGCAAATATTTTCTCCCAATCTGCCGGTTGTCTTTTGGTTTTGTGGACTGTTTCTTTTGCTGTGCAAAAGCTTTTTATCTTGATGAAATCCCAATAGTTCATTTTTGCCCTTGCTCCCCTTGCCTTTGGCGATGGTTCTAGGAAGAAGTTGCTTTGGCTGAGGTCGAAGAGGTTGCTGCCTGTGTTCTCCTTTAGGATTTTGATGGACTCCTGTCTCACATTTAGGTCTTTCAACCATTTGGAGTCTATTTTTGTGTGTGGTGTAAGGAAATGGTCCAGTTTCATTTTTCTGCATGTGGCTGTCCAATTTTCCCAACACCATTTGTTGAAGAGACTGTCTTTTGTCCATTGGACATTCTTTCCTGCTCTGTCAAAGATAAGTTGACCATAGAGTTGAGGGTCCATTTCTGGGCTCTCTATTCTGTTCCATTGATCTATGTGTCTGTTTTTGTGCCAGTACCATACTGTCTTGATGATGACAGCTTTGTAATAGAGCTGGAAGTCCGGAATTGTGATGCCACCAGCTTTGCTTTTCTTTTTCAAGATTCCTCTGGCTATTCGGGGTCTCTTCTGGTTCCATACAAATTTTAGGATTATTTGTTCCATTTCTTTGAGAAAAGCGGATGGTATTTTGATGGGGATTGCACTGAATGTGTAGATTGCTCTAGGTAGCATTGACATCTTCACAATGATTGTTCTCCCAATACATGAGCATGGAACGTTTTTCCATTTCTTTGTGTCTTCTTCAATTTCATTCATGAGTATTTTATAGTTTTCTGAGTACAGATCCTTCGCCTCTTTGGTTAGATTTATTCCTAGGTATCTTATGGTTTTGGGTGCAATTGTAAATGGGATCGATTCCTTGATTTGTCTCTCTTCTTTCTTGTTGCTGGGGTATAGGAATGCCACTGATTTCTGGGCATTGATTTTATATCCTGCTACTTTAATGAATTCCTGTATGAGTTCTAGCAGTTTTGGGGTGGAGTCTTTTGGGTTTTCCACATACAGTATCATATCATCTGCAAAGAGTGAGAGTTTGACTTCCTCTTTGCCGATTTGGATGCCTTTGATTTCTTTTTGTTGTCTGATTGCTGTGGCTAGGACTTCTGATACTATGTTGAATAGCAGTGGTGAGAGTGGACATCCCTGCTGCATTCCTCACCTTAGTGGTGAGAGTGGACATCCCTGCTGCATTCCTGAGAGTGGACATCCCTGCTGCATTCCTGACCAAAGCTGAGAGCTTTTCCATTGAGAATGATATTCGCTGTAGGTTTTTCATAGATGGCTTTTATGATATTGAGGTATGTACCCTCTATCCCTACACTCTGAAGAGTTTTGATCAAGAAAGGAGGCTGTACTTTGTCAAACGCTTTTTCTGCATCTATTGAGAGGATCATATGATTCTTGTTCTTTCTTTTGTTAAGGTATTGTATCACGTTGATTGATTTGCGGATGTTGAACCAATCTTGCAGCGCAGGGATAAATCCCACTTGGTCATGGTGAATAATCTTTTAATGTACTGTTGGATCCTATTGGCTAGTATTTGGGTGAGAATTTTTGCATCCATGTTCATCAAGGATATTGGTCTGTAATTCTCCTTTTTGATGGGGTCTTTGTCTGGTTTTGGGATCAAGGTAATGGTGGCCTCATAAAAGAAGTTTGGAAGTTTTCCTTCCATTTCTATTTTTTTGAACAGTTTCAGGAGAATAGGTATTAATTCTTCTTGAAATGTCTGATAGAATTCCCCTGGGAAGCCATCTGGCCCTGGGCTTTTGTTTGTTGGGAGATTTTTGATGACTGCTTCAATTTCCTTAGTGGTTATAGGTCCGTTCAGGTTTTCTATTTCTTCCTGGTTCAATTTTGGTAGTTGACTCCTGGTAGTTGATACATCTCTAGGAATGCACCCATTTCTTCCAGGTTCTCTAATTTGCTGGCATAGAGTTGCTCATAATATGTTCTTATAATTGTTTGTATTTCTTTGGTGTTGGTTGTGGTCTCTCCTCTTTCATTCATGATTATGTTGATTTGGGTCATTTCTCTTTTCTTCTTGATCAGTCTGGCCAGGGGGTTATCGATCTTGTTAATTCTTTCAAAGAACCAGCTCCTAGTTTCGTTGATCTGTTCTACTGTTCTTTTGGTTTCTAGGTCATGGATTTCTGCTCTGATCTTTATGATTTCTCTTCTCCTGCTGGGTTTAGGCTTTATTTGCTGCTCTTTCTCCAGCTCCTTTAAGGTGTAGGGTTAAGTTGTGTATTTGAGACCTTTCTTATTTCTTGAGAAAGGCTTGTATTGCTATATACTTTCCTCTCACGACTGCCTTTGCAGTATCCCAAGGATTTTGAACAGTTGTGTTTTCATTTTCATTGGTTTCCATGAATTTTTTTAATTCTTCTTTAATTTCCTGGTTGACCCATTCATTCTTTAGTCGGATGCTCTTTAGCCGCCATGTATTTGAGTTCTTTCCGACTTTCCTCTTCTGCTTGAGTTCTAGTTTCAAAGCATTGTGGTCTGAAAACGTGCAGGGAATAATCCCAATCTTTTGGTACCGGTTCAGACCTGATTTGTGACCTAGGATGTGATCAATTCTGAAGAATGTTCCATGGGCACTAGAGAAGAATGTGTATTCCGTTGCTTTGGGATGGCATGTTCTGAATATGTCTGTGAAGTCCATTTGGTCCAGTGTGTCATTTAGTCTTTATTTCCTTGTTGATCTTTTGCTTAGATGATCTGTCCATTTCAGTCAGGGGGGTGTTAAAGTCCCCCACTATTATTGTATTGTTGTCAATGTGTTTCTTCGCTTTTGTTATGAATTGCCTTATATAATTGGCTGCTCCCATATTAGGGGCATAGATATTTACAACTGTTAGATCTTCTTGTTGGATAGACCCTTTAAGTAGGATATAGTGTCCTTCCTCATCTCTTATTACAGTCTTTGTTTTAAAATCTAATTTGTCTGATATAAGGATTGCCACCTCAGCTTTCTTTTGGTGTCCATTAGCATGGTAAATGGTTTTCCACCCCCTCACTTTCAATCTGGGGGTGTCTTTGGGTCTAAAATGAGTCTCTTGCAGACAGCATATCAATGGGTCTTGTTTTTTTAATTCAATCTGATAGCCTGTGTCTTTTGATTGGGGCATTTAGCCCATTTACATGCAGGGTAACTATTGAAAGGTATGAATTTAGTGCCATTGTATTGCCTGTAAGGTGACTGTGACTGTCTATTGTCTGTGTTCCTTTGTGATCTATGCTGCTTTTAGGCTATCTCTTTGGTTAGAGGACCCCTTTCAATATTTCTTGGAGGGCTGGTTTCGTGTTTGCAAATTCCTTTAGTTTTTGTTTGTCCTGGAAGCTTTTTATCTCTCCTTCAATTTTCAATGCGAGCCTAGCTGGATATAATATTCTTGGCTGCATATTTTTCTCGTTTAGTGCTCTGAAGATATCATGCCAGTCCTTTCTGGCCTGCCAGGTCTCCGTGGATAGGTCTGTTGCCAGTCTAATATCTCTACCATTGTAGGTTACATATCTCTTCTCCCGAGCTGCCTTCAGGATTTTCTCTTTGTCTCTGAGACTCGTAAGTTTTACTATTAGATGTCGGGGTGTTGACCTATTTTTGTTGATTTTGAGAGGGGTTCTCTGTGCCTCCTGGATTTTGATGCCTGTTTCCTTCCTCACATTAGGGAAGTTCTCTGCTATTATTTGCTCCAATATACCTTCTGCCCCTCTCTCTGTTTTTCTTCTTCTGGGATCCCAATTATTCTAATGTTGTTTCGTCTTATCGTATCACTTATCTCTCGAATTCTGCCCTCGTGATCCCGTAGTTGTCTCTCTCTTTTTCTCAGCCTCTTTATTTTCCATCA